GGCATTCCTCCCTGCTACTCGTCCTTTTCACCAGCAGTTACAGCTTCAGAACCTTCCAGTGTTGCAGAACGGCTGTGCAGAATTAGCCCTTCTCTCCAGACACCTTATCATGAAATGGTACATATGGTACTGAGAGCTGGTTTAATCACAGACTAAGAAACACGATGGTGCTAAACATCCCTCATTTGCCTGCTAAAGATTGCCTTGTGGAGATGTTATATAGGATATGTTGTACTTCAAATGTATTAGCAGATTGGCTGGCCAAATTCTTCTAATTTGTTATTGGGAGATGATTTCCATATTGATGAGAAATGTTGTCTCTTTTGCTGTGCATGAATGATTGTGGCTAGTGTCCTCAGCCATATTTCTGGCATTACAGTAAGACAAAAAGAGAACTTTACTTATCCTGATTTAGTGGATTTGACTGAAGTAATTTCAGTACAGCTGCTCTTTGCTAGGCCTGCGAAATATACACTGTCATTTCCAGTTCTGCTGTGACTGAATCTGGGATGTATGCTGAGCGACACATAAAGATTATTTTTCCAATAAGAAAGTTCTCTATAGAAGGTGATTTCAAGTTTTGTTTGAATCAGGAGTTTATTCTGACTTTTCCCTCCTAATTCTCACTCACTTGGTCTGAGACCTCGATTCTCATTTGTGTATCAGAAATCAATGTACATATGTTAAATATAGTACATAGAAGATATACTATGCAGTTAATAAAGTAACTTTTTATTTTGTTATTAAGCTTTTTATTATCTACTTTAGCTGATGTACTAATGTAGTTCTTACGAGAAACGGTGGAAGAGGAAAGGCCATATTGAGAGGAACATCAGTGATTCAGTGGAAGTGCATGACAGAGTTTTAAATGTCTAAGCAGTCAGGCAGGACCTAAATGAAGTAGGTGAAAATAATAATAAAAAGTGGAGAAGTAAGATTAAGAGGAAAAGGAGTATTTCTGAAGGACTAGATGTTGAAAGAAAAGCTAAAAATTTCATGAGGAAATTATAGAATTGGAGAGGGCGGGGCAATCTTCAGGATTTCAGAAAAATTGCTGGAGACTGGAAGCCAGCAATAGCTCTATCAGGAGTGACAAGTGGAAGCAGTACGTTTGCCCTTGTGAGATCTTGGGATACTCCTTGACCTGCTGAAAGTCTATAAGTTATGAGGTAACTAGCAGTGGGCACAGAGTACTTCTTTCTGTATTCTTTCTTGTGTCAGGTTGGCTGTGGAGTCAAGTTGTTGAGCAGTCACAAGAAGATGACATTCACTGATTTGAGGAAACTAAGTTTTTTTGGTTTTGAGTCTGAGGAGAAGGAAGAAAAAAAGCTGCCCCTGGGAAAGTGACAGGTGGTCCTTAAAGGTCTTTTACATAGAAGGAAATCAGAGCTGCTGATTCCTTAGCCATTTAATAATTGTATGATTCATTTTTGTGAACAGGTCCAGAGTTTAAGAGAAAGTGCATTCAAATACTGTACACATCCAAGATTTCTGCATATGATTTCTTCTGTAATCATCCATTGCTTCACTGAGACAGATACTGTAAAGGTAGCACACAGCCTTTACAAGATGTGCAGTGAAGTGCTGGTTTGTCTTACAATGCAGTGTTTTAACCTGTTTGGGTGGATATGCCCCCACAACACACATGCACACACACACAGACATCATAAATCCTTGGTGTGGTGAGCAGAAAAGCAGCTGCTAAAGGAAAATGTAGAAGTAGGTATGTAATAAAATTGTTCAAAAGCTAGAAGAAGTCACTCATAATGCATGGGTGGTTTTAATGCCCTGCAGACGGTATTATTTTCCATGCGATTAGGTTGAAAGGGAACACACAGTAGATGAGACAAATATAAAATGTGGCAGGGAGTGAATTTACCAAGCAATGAAAGTTTTTAATTGCTTACATTTTCTAGCTTTTACTTCATTTGTTGTTGTGGGTTTTTTTCAGTTTAGTGAATTTTCAGATAATCTGTTAATTTTCGACTGTGATGAAATTTAAGAAAAACAACTAGAAAACAACAATAAGTCATTGTGGTCCTGGTATTATAACAGTTGCCAACTCATAAAGTTGTTCTTATTTTGACAGAAAATGAGATCTATTAAATCATGTTACAGGAAGAGATGACCAGAAATAGCTTGGTTTTGCAAGGTGATGTTAGAAATGCCTTTGTGCATTTTTTTTTGTAAGATTTAATTGCTCAGAACTACGTGTCAAGAA